CCCTCCTCCTTCTCCCTCCTCCTCATCCCCTCCTCCTCATCTACTCCTCCTCCCCCTCCCCCTCCTCCTCAACCAACGTCACGTCCGAATTCCCCGCCGAGGCTCTGCGCTTGATCGGCCACTGCGTTCGAAAGACTGGAAGACTGTCACTTAACCGTGGGAGTTCGGCGTGCAGGTGTGACGTGCGGGCGCGCGGGCGGGCAGCGAGTGGGGGGGGGGAAGCGGATCTTCGGATGGGGAGGGGAGACAAGGAGGGAAGATGAGGGGGGGGGGTAAGGCAGGAAGAGGGAGGGGGAAGAAGGGGGAGGAGGTTGTGGTAGTGTTATTGTTATCGACGTCGGTGTCGGATTTTGTTGTTGTTGTCGTTGTTGCTGTTGATTACATTGATTGATAATGCATTGTCAAAATTAAACCGTAACAGCTGTCTTACTTCTCTGTTGAAAAGGAAAAACTAAAACACACATCTAAAACACATCCAAACTTATACATAAAACTGAACAAACCCCCACAGTAAGAGAAAACAAACAAGTAAACAAAAACAAACAAACAAAAACAAATCCCACACCCATTAGGATATCCCAAGGAATCCTTTGAGTGTGACGTCACGCAGGAGAGACCGAGCAGACCTGGCCTTGCTAAGCGTCATGCTCTGCCTGGCTTATTGATCTTGAGAAAATCAGAGCGAGTGATGGGGAGGACGCTGAGGAAGGGGGGGAGAGGGTGGGGAGGGGGGGGAGGGGATGGGGAAGGGAGAGGGGATGGGGAAGGGATGGAGGGGATGGGGAAGGGATGGAGGGGGTGGGGAAGGGGGGAGGGAATGGGGAAGGGATGGAGGGGATGGGGAATGGGGGAGAGGATGGGGAAGGGGGGAAGGAGGGGGAGGTGATGGGGAAGGGGGGAAGGAGGGGGAGGTGATGGGGAAGGGGGGAGGCGGTGGGGAGGGCGCTGAGGATGAGATCGGCAGGAGGAGGAGATGAAGGAAGGAGAGAGAGGAGAGGAGAGTGAGGGAAGAAGAAGAGAAGTCGGAAGAAGGAGAGGGAGATGAGGAAAAGAGTGGAGGGAAGGAGAGGAGGGAGTGGGGGAAAGAGGAGGAGGAGGTGATAAAGAAAGGAGAAGAATTAGAGGAGAGTGCGGGTAGGAGGAGGAAGCGAAAGAGGGAGAGGAAGAGTTGGAGAAGAATGGGGGGGAGGAGAGAAAGAGAAAGAGGAGGAGGACAATGGGGAGAGAATGAGGAGGAAGAGGAGGTGAAGGAAAGGAGAGGAGAGTGAGAAGGAAAGGAGAAAAAGGAAAAGGTTTGTGAGGAGAAAGGCAGCGAGAGGAGCGGAGCAGAGTGAGGAAAGTGAATGAGGCGGAGATGAGGAGACTCTTTGCTTCCTCACGAACTGCCTTGAGCTTTCTCTCTCCCTTTCTTGTCGGTCCTCTTCGTCCTTGGCATTCTTCTGCATTCACTTTATTCTCTATTCTTCCTTTTTTCTTCCTTTTTGGTCTACATTTCTCTCATTATCACATTATCAAAGACGTTTTATATTTTTTTTTATCTTTTCCTCCTCTTCTTCTTCCACTTTTTCATCCTCTCCATACATCTCTTCCTCCTCTTCCACCTTCTCTCCCTTCTCCTTCCTCATGTTCCCACTGATTTATATTTTTCCTTCTCCTCCCCTCCTTTCATTTATCTTCCATCCCTGTCTCCTATACCCGATTCTCTCTTCTTTCACCCTATTCCTCCTTTGCTTCCTCTTCCCTCTCCTCCTCTTCTATCATCGCTTCCTCTTCTCCTCTTCCTCCTCCCCATCCTCCTCTTCAACACCCTTTTTCTTCTTCTTCCCCTCCTCTTATTATTATTATTCCTTATCATCCTTTCCCTCCCCCTTTATCTTCCTCTTCCTCTTCTTCTTCTTCTTCTGCCTCCACATCTTTCTCTTCCTCCCCTTTCCTCCTCCATCTCCCCATCCTACTCTTTCTCTCTTTTCCTCTTCCTCCTCTTCTTCCTCTTCCTCCTCCTCCCTTCCCCCCATCCCCTTTCTCTTCCTCCTCTTCCTCCCTTTCCCCCTTTCCCTCAGCGGTCTTTTCAAGACAGTCTGGCTCCAAGTGGGCGTGAAGAGAGCCTCGCGCGGGCGGCCAAGCGGGGGCGTACCGTGAGAATTTCAGCCTCCTCCCCTCTCCCTCCCTCCTTCCCTCCCTCACTCCCTTCCTCTCTCCCTTCTTCCCTCCCTCCCTCCCTCCCTTCTTCCCTCCCTTCCCTCCCTCACTCACTCCCTCCCTCCCTCCCTCTCTCCCTTCTTCCCTCCCTCCCTCCCTCCCTCCCCCAGCCTGTAATTCCCCCTCCCGTTTATCCTGCTTCCCCCTCTTCCCATCCCCCCAACACACACACACACTTTTATTCTTCATTTCCTCATCTCCCTCTTCCCAACAATTTCAACCATTTTTTTCAACCACCTTTTCTCTTTGTTTGTGTCAATTTTGTTTCAGTCTCTCTTTCTTGCTTGTTTTATACAGCTATGTTTGTGCGTGTGTGTGTGTATGTATATATATATATATATATATATATATATATATATATATATATATATATATATATATATATATATATATATATATATATACATATATATATATATATATATATATATATATATATATATATATTATTTATATATATATATCTATTTAAATATTTATTTATCTATTTATTTATTTATTTACATTTTTATTTATTTAATTATTTAGTTAGTTAGTTATTTACACTTTTATTTAATTATTTATTTATTTATTAATCCATATACTTTTTGGCCTTTCTCTCCTATACACTGTTTATCTTTGTCTCCCATTCCCACTTTTCTGTTCATATGTCTATACGTATTTATATTCAGTAACAAATTAATTCATAAAAGTGTATTCTGTATTAGTCTCCCCTTAAACAAAACAAAGAAAACGTTTTACCGGTAAGCCGATATCCTCATACAGAAAACGGTAAAAAGATCATAAGAACCGCACAAACTATACTATTATAGAACCCCACACAGAATTTCAGCCTCCTCCCCTCTCCCTCCTTCCCTCCCTCACTCCCTTCCTCTCTCCCTCCTTCCCTCCCTCCCTCCCTCCCTCACTCCCTCCCTCCCCTCTTCCCTCCCTCACTCCCTCCCTCCCTTCTTCCCTCCCTCCCTCCTTCCCTCCCTCCCTCCCTCACTCCCTCCCTCCCTCCCTCCCCCAGCCTGTAATTCCCCCTCCCGTTTATCCTGCTTCCCCCTCTTCCCATCCCCCCAACACACACACACACTTTTATTCTTCATTTCCTCATCTCCCTCTTCCCAACAATTTCAACCATTTTTTTCAACCACCTTTTCTCTTTGTTTGTGTCAATTTTGTTTCAGTCTCTCTTTCTTGCTTGTTTTATACAGCTATGTTTGTGCGTGTGTGTGTGTGTGTATATATATATATATATATATATATATATATATATATATATATATATATATATATATGTATATATATATATATATATATATATATATATATATATATATATATATAATATATATATATATATATATATATATATATATATATATATATATATATATTCATTTATTTATTTGTTTATTTATTTATCTATTTACATATTTATTTATCTATTTATTTATTTATTTACATTTTTATTTATTTAATTATTTAGTTAGTTAGTTATTTACACTTTTATTTAATTATTTATTTATTTATTATCCATATACTTTTTGGCCTTTCTCTCCTATACACTGTTTATCTTTGTCTCCCATTCCCACTTTTCTGTTCATATGTCTATACGTATTTATATTCAGTAACAAATTAATTCATAAAAGTGTATTCTGTATTAGTCTCCCCTTAAACAAAACAAAGAAAACGTTTTACCGGTAAGCCGATGTCCTCATACAGAAAACGGTAAAAAGATCATAAGAACCGCACAAACTATACTATTATAGAACCCCACACAATTGCGCGTGTATAGTTACTCTGCATAGTTACAAAATTATACAGATTCGAGTCATGGGCACAATTACACCTTCGAGCAGTCGTAAATAAAACCCTTTACGTGCGAGTGAGCGGTTTGCTGAAGACAGTTTAATTACAAAAATCAATGTCTTGTTACCGCAGCCAAGGACTCCTGAGACCATAAACACAGTTTTTTTTGTTGTTTTCGTTCTTTTCGGTTTTGTTGCTGAAAAAGATAATGTCAGATGGTGAAAGAGGAAAATTAAGTGAATACACATCAGCGGTTCAATTTTTGTATACTTTTTCTTTCAATATATATATGTGCGTTTGTGTGTGTGTGTATGTATGTATGTGTATGTATAAGTATGTACGTATGTATAAGGATGTATGTATGTATAGATAGAGAGAGAGAGAAAGAGAAATATTTTTCTATGAATTAATATATGTCCACCTACCAACCTATCTACTTAGCTACCTATCAATCTCTCTCTCTCTCTCTCTCTCTCTCTCTCTCTCTCTCTCTCTCTCTCTCTCTCTATATATATATATATATATATATATATATATATATATATATATACATATATATATATATATATATATATATATATATATATATATATATATATATATATATATATATATATATATATATATATATATATATATATATATATATATATATATATTATATATATATATATATATATATATATATATATATATATATATATATATATATATATATATATGTATGTATATATATATATATATATATATATATATATATATATATATATATACATACATATATATATATATATATATATATATATATATATATATATATATGTATGTATATATATATATATATATATATATATATAATATATATATATATATATATATATATATATATATATATATATATATATATATATATATCATATACTGTTCTTGATTACATGTTCATTTATTCACTTGTCCAACAATTGGTTCAGTATTAATCCCCCTCCCTCCCCCAGGTTCTGCCGCGCCGCCCGGAGCCATGAACCAGCAGTGCCGCGTGTGTGGCGAACCGGCCGCCGGCTTCCACTTCGGCGCCTTCACGTGCGAGGGATGCAAGGTGAGGCCCGGGGCCCGCTAGGGGGGGAAAGCGATAGATGATGGATAGATAGAGGGGTCGTTGGTTAGATATGTGAATGATGCGATTTATTGAACTATGATTAAAGGAAGAAAGTGGAAGAGAAAAATAGTAAGGCACAAAAAACAATTACCTTTTTTTAATGTGGCGTTGATTTTTTTCTTCATTGCTGAAAAAAAAACATATTATATACTGATATGAGTTCTATCAATGTTTAATATAATAGAATTTTTAATGTATCGTATAAAATTTTCGTTCCATATCAGATGCATTCTCAGGTTCAAATATCAACCTACAAATATACAATTTTTCTTTCGCCTACTCCAGTCACATTAATATAGAACACCAATGAAATCCAAGAATAACAACTCTGAAAGCCTTTCATCCCAATATTCTATAACACAGAGCTCACCTACTCCTATATTCCCTATTACC